CACGCACGCACGCACGCACGCACGCACGCACGCACGCACGCACGCACACAATATACTACTGTAACGTACCTACTAAGATTTATATTGTGTTGTATTTTGTGGTGAGAAATAAACATATTTATTATTATTAATTTTTCAATTTAGGTCCATTATAGCAAAGCTCAAGTTAAACTGGTCCATTTGAAGTGAAACAATGGACGACACCCGTGAATTGTTTCGAATTCGAGGTGACCAATCGGAGCTCAGTTGTCAGCGTAATGATTTTTGAGAATAGTTTTCAAACAAATTAAATGACATTTCGTCTCTATTTCTGGTTATATGGTAGATAGGTTTCATGTATACATTTTAATACTGCGTTCGTGCGCCTGGTATTAAGCGACATGCATGTCTATGACTTTAAATTACAAAGATCTGAGGGCACTGCCTCTGCGCCCGTGAGCCTGAGACATAAGTTGACAAGTCCCATGTGCCTGTAACTTCACCAGCATCCGTACCCCTCAAAACCAAAACGCAGTAATGCTCACATTACTGCATAGCTGTAGAAATACGTAATTGACAGTACTTCCCTGGACAAACTCTTTCACAAGGAGCTCTACTGCTACGAGTTTAGGCCATAGCACGCCACGCTGACCTAATGCGAGTTGAGAGCGTTTTTCGGCAGGCAGTCGACTTTAATATCTAAAGTACGCTCATTTGTGAATCTTTAGTAGAAAATCTCCTTCTAATTGCAAAGGTAGCTGCATGTACTCAGATTTATTTAAACCCAAATTCTGTTTACAGGTGGCCATTCAACTTTCTTCGGAATGCTGAACACTTTTGTCCACATCATTATGTATTCGTACTACCTCCTTGCTGCACTCGGACCTCGAGTACAGAAGTACCTCTGGTGGAAGAAATACCTCACAGCACTACAAATGGTAAAATATTCCGAAGTGTTCAACTCAGTGATATTGATTAAAATTATAAGTGATTAAAATAGTAATCGTCTACGGACTACACTACGGTGATTTGTTGTGAATTTTAATTTTATACACGTGTACATTGACCTATTTTGGTAGATCAATGCACGTGTAATTAAAATTCGTTCGATCTATAAGGAAATCGATTGATGTCTGTGACTGTCTCTTACATTTTCACTTAAATCACAATGATCTTGTATTGCCTGTTTATGTATTATAAATTATTGTTCCTTATGGGTGAGGCCAGATGAGTGTAATCAATGTGTAATTTTTGAGCTGTGAGGCGCTTTTTTTGAGTCTCGTAGTGTACGTTCGACTGAAATCCGGTTGGCGAACCACACGAACTTATTTTTTTTAACATTTGTATGGGGTGTTTGTGTAATGGATCTGTTAAACATAGTGTGTAGAAGATAATGCTAAAACAAGAAAATGAAGCTGGATACATCCACTTAATGTGAAAATATTAAAGTGTAGGCAGTTTCATATACTATATGAAAGTTTATGTGAACATTCACATTTGTAAGCCTCACCTTCCTTTCTTCACCTCTCCCTTTACCCACACAAACACGCCACCCAACTCATTTTGCGTCGCGTCGTCGCGTGGCACAAACCGGACTTTTATATGAAATCAAAATTGTAGCATAAATTACGCATTTCACAACTCACACGATTACTTACACTCGGCTGGCCTCACCCTAAGATGGAACGTTCATCATTACTATTCACAGCTCTTTGTTTCTTTGCCTTTAATATGATATATTATTTGTGTTTCATTTCAGGTGCAATTCGTCCTAGTTTTCTTCCACGCATTCCAATTACTGTTTATTGACTGCGACTATCCCCGCGCGTTCGTCTGGTGGATTGGCATGCACGCTGTTCTCTTCTACTATCTATTCTCCGATTTCTACAAACAGGCTTATCTCAAGAAGAGTAAGGTAAGACTCGTTCAACATTGTAAACGATATAAGTATTCGAAGAGAACATTCGCGACATTCCAAAATGTTGTTTTAAGGTGAAGCGACCAATTTTGTTTTCGAAATCGAGACGTATTACAAACACGTTTTGTCTATTTTTTGTTTTCCCTTATTTTAGATTTGAAGGCAACTTCAAGGCAAAGTTTATTATTACGTCACTTTATTATGCTATAATTGAGCAAATATAGAGATGTTATCGAATAAACAAATTAATTTACTCATAAGTATAGAAAATGAAGCTATTTTTTTCGGATCTTAAACGAGTATTTGTTTTTCAAAGAAACCAATGTTTCGAACACCTAAAAATTCCATGGTTACGGTTAACTGACCTGTAAAGAGTTCCAAACGTTGGTTTATTTGAAAAAACAAATATCCGCGATTTAGATCCAAAAAATAGTTTAATTACTTTTTTATTACATTGTAACAATCGCGAAAACCTAAAAACTCGACCTTTAAAAAAATATGCTGTGTTTTGCAGAGGGAAAAGGCCAAATTGAAAGTAGAGGCAGAACGCATCCAATCGGAGTCCAAAGAGATGAAACTGCCTCTATTGAATAGCTTTGGCAACGGGTCAGCACTCAACGACGTCCGGCAAAGGATGGCGGGAGCAGTCGCCTCACAGTGAAACCGGCTCAATCGGCCTATAGATGCGCTTGTGGTCACGGACTCATAGTGAACGCACTGTGTGCAATATCACTACAAAATGTTGAACAAATCAAGTACAAAAAAGTGATTTGAATATCACGGCTACGTGTTTCCGAAAAGCTCAAGTAAATATAAAAGTATATTGTAGAATAATGGTATTAGGTATAATTTATTAAATCAATAATTGATAGATGTAGCTGGTTGACTGTATTTTTTTGAGTTTAATATTAGACTACTGTAAGAGTTGTGTAGTATACCCACAGGACCGAAGGCAAAGATTTTTTTTGTGTTATGTACCGAATTCAGTGTTGATTTTGACGTGTTATTTATTATGAACAGGTATATCTCCCACCAGTGTCATCAATTCATTACTTTGTGTTGTTGATAAAAGCTTGATATTCCTATTGTAAAAATATGAAACTGTATATTTAAAATACAATTTATTTAAAGCATGGAAATATGCTTCACATTCTGAACAACTAGTAACTTAGTTATAGTGAAATTTCAACGCTAACACAAATGGAGAGATTTAGTATAGTGTCTTCTATATTTTGTTTTCTTGTACTATTGTTAGAATTTTGAAAACAAGTGAAAATCAACGGCATGAAAAACACTGCTACGCACATCAAAAATGTCTAGAGAACAAGCATGTTTTAGCAATTACTGAAAAAAAAGTTCGTATTTTTTTTAACACCGATGGATTTATAGATTTTTAAGGCTTTAGTGGTAATTCACTAAATGATTATCGCTAATTACTGGGATCTTACCACGGTATGATGATGCTTTTATTTTCCCAATATTTCAACCCATTTCCATGGAGTTACACACCGTTCTGAAATTTCGGGAAAATAAAAAAGAACTCACACCTTGGTAAGAAACCTGTAATCAGTATTAATCATTTCCCGATGGATATTTTTGTTCAATTTCATAATTCGGATTTGAAAATGAAATAGACCAAAAAAGTCCATTGGTGTTAAAAAATTTTTTTTTAAAAAACCTAACAACACTTAAAACATTTTTAAAAACCTGATTTTCAGTAAATAGCACAAACTTGCTTGATCCCTAGACACTTTTGATGAGGCACTTTGCTCGGTTTAATCTTCACTGGGTTCGCAGAATAGCAAGGCAAATTACATTTATTTTTGTTAAAACGATTTCCGCAAAGTAACCTAAAACTATAAATTATTAAAAAACTTTATATGGTTTTTCACGAACTTTCGTATAATCATGAAAGTTATTGTGATGATCAAGCTTTTAATTAGAAGTTTCTTAGTATTGTGATCGGGAATAATTTTGCCAATACTGTCGCCTTGTTGATTCGTATAAGCTATTAAGAAATAGACCAAAGTTTTTTGCCTAATTTTTAGCGAAATTAACAAATTTATCGCAACTCTACAATGCTTTGATGATGATGCAAATGTGTGCATGAATTTGTGTGTATGAAATGAATATATTCATTCAAATGTTTGACGTTTACTACAGGGTTAATTAAAAAGCCAGAAAAAGCGAGATTTTTCTCATGCCTCTAATATTGAAAATAATTTAGAATAATTACCACGCTATAAAAGTGACTCCTACTTGAAGAGTTTATTAAGGTTGTTGTTAATAAGGCCGAACTATAGCACACGTCCACGGCTACGTAAATTAAAAAGTGAAGGCATGTCTGTTGACATAGAATGGGTGTATCTCTGTGTGTGATCAGTATTGCCTTTACTATCGACAGCGAAACAGAGTCATCGTGCGTAGTGTGGTCGTGGTATAGATAGTGCATGAAAAGCTCCACAGCGAGTTCAAAAAAAATAAATTGAAATTTAATTATTTGACTGTAGTACATTCTATACTTTATCGAAGCAAAACTTGAATGCATGTTACTAAATGATGCATTCGAGTTAGACTCGTCGTTTGCTCGACTGACTTTACTTTCTTTCAATGATCATACAGGTCTTAGTAGAAATTTTCCACAAAAATATAAAATAATACTATAGTTACGTCATTGTACTTTTAATAGCTCCCTAGCTATTGTTTAATAATTGTTTATTTTGTGCCTACCTGAAAATAGTCTTAGAACTGAAGTATATTTGTATATACCTAAAACCTTGTAAATCAAATTGTATAAACACAATTTAATACGAATTAAACATAAATGTGTGACGCTTATTGAGTACACGTTGACAATGTCACTTGTTCCTTTTGGAACAACCTTATTCGTCCGAAAACCGGTTTCTGAAATCAGTATCAATTACCAAGGTGGCATTCCTTTCGAAAACTAGGTATCTCGGTTACAATTTCTGATGTAAAAAGTTACTGAAATGAAACGCTTGTTTTGTCGGAATCATTGGTTGTGACTTGTGACAAAAACGTACAGGATTTTTCCTATTAGTAACTAGTGCAATAATATATTCGCCTGCTTCTCGAATTGTGATAAAAAATATATTGAAAATGTTGTAAGCAATGCGTATTAAGCTCTATGAAGTACAATTTCGAAAAATAAATTGCATAACATTTTGCGTAATTATATAATTGATTCAGGAAATACAACTATTCAAGGTTTAATGATTTTTTCCTATACTATTGCCATCAAGCGTTCATGCAGTGCTTTATGTATTTAATATAAAATTTAAACATATTGTCATAAGTCAATGCATATTGTACATACATATAATTTATAATAAATTAGGATTTTTTCAAAACGTGTAAAAACCACATTTATTAAAAAAATGTGATATTTTAATAAAACTCAAAACACAAAATGGAATTACCACATCTCTGTGAAGAATGTGAAATGTATTGTTATTTTTGTATTTTGATAAATAAAAATAATGTAACAATAAAATTGTATTAATTTATTTTTGGTTTTCATTGCTGTAATCGTGTTTGTCATGTTTATACACTTACCCTACGTAGAATAAATTCGGAATTTATATAAACAATGCTGGTGTTACATTCATCACTAACCCATTTATACTTCCCATTGCTAGGCACGGGTCTCCTCTCAGGCGAGGGTTTAGGCCGTAATCCGTCAGACCGGCCCAATGCAGGTCGGCGACCCGTTTTCCGAAGGTTGTGACCTTCTTCGACATTTTATATTTGAATTATAGGATATTTTCCTTGAAAAATGTTGATATTAGAACGTTGTAACCAAACAAATATTTACCCTAAAGTTAATATTCTAGTTTAGTTAATGTACTCGATGATTGTAAGTCACGTAATTTGGGTGTAACTTGTAGTTGTCTATGTATGTGTCCATGGCACCTGGGACACAGGGTTTCCCTAGTGCGGGACTATGTTGAGTGTGTGCGTTATATTATGTTATATTATATATTTTATGTTTTATCAAATTAGAGAGTGGCACAATTATATAAAGCTTCAAAAAATCGAAATTAGATTCGCTCGCTTTTGGATTACTTGAGCACTTTCTTCTGTGCTTTTTTTTAAGTGAACATCAAGTGATTGTATTTAAACAGATATGGCGAGTCTCAATTAAAGATATTGGTACAATTAAGCAAGTTCTCACTAGAAAAACGTATCTAACTTGCTTAACTGTTCAAATACTAATAAATATATGAACGCAATAAACTACGCCTCATTATACTTACTCGACTATTGACGTCAAATAATAATAATCACCTAACAGTTTCTTGTCTTCCCTCTATCTTTAGTGTTCTCTATGTTTTAAGATGGCTTTTCTCACACTGCAAACGAAAAACAGCTAAACTGAACATAAGCGCCATCTAGTGGTGAGTAGCCACTACATATGAAAACTGTCCTGGGTTTTTCTGACAATACTTCTTAATAGTTCTACTACTCAATAGTAGGTAGCGCCGCCCCAGGAATTAACTATAATTGTTTTCTTGTGTTTAAGGAAGAATGAGTTTTCATTGATATTGACATATATATATATATATATATATATGCACAAATTATCAACATTTCGCACGCATTGGCCAGGCGCAGAACAGTTTACTTTGTTAATTTTATTTTCATACAAAAGACATCAACGTGCTCATCTATATACAAGGTGCGGGGGGAAGACTGTACCTAACGAGAGGGACTAGTTTCAAATACTTTTATGTGATGGTTTTAGCTCAAGGAATACATAACGAGTATGCAAATTATATATAATGTGCATAATTGATCGCAATTACTTTGCGTTTTTATCGGCTGCTTGTTTTGATTGAATTCTTATAGACTCATCTCATGTAAATATCCACGCAAGTAGTAATTTTTTCACTCTCTCCTTTTAAATATTATCAAGCGATTGGAGAATTTGCCATGAAAAAGGTATATTTCGTTGAGGAGTGGAGATAAAACTTCTTTTGCGTGTCTAAACAGATGACGGTATTCGCCCAACAGTAATAACTACCAGTACAATAATATCTAAATTGTTCACCGGTTCTCAGGCGCTTTGGGAATTCGCTAAATTGCACAAGCCATTGTCTTTATGAAAACTTTATTTACAATGAAATATTTTACAATCTACAATTATAACTTACACTCTATTGTACATGGATAGGAAATAGTTTTATGTTCATCCGCAATTTACTCAATAAATATCGAAAATGGACAAAATCGAGACGATATCAAATTCGAAGTAGCTGTAAGAAAAGACTACGTTTTAGCTACTCTTAACCCAATATGAACATTCATATTAATATCACAAATAATTTAGGGTAACTACGGATATGCCTCTTTAGATATTGGTAAAACTGGTTTCGACTTCAGTCTAATAAGTATTAATATTAGTCTGGCGAAAATAGATATTTACAAAAGTTGTACTTTATTAACGTAAGATAGGTATCAGATAGGTCCTTTCAAAATAGAGCTGGCTAGAATTTTTTTTAATAAAAGTTACTAATTCTTATACATGTATTTACTTTTGTACCTAAGAAATACTCTACAATTATCCAAAGAGGCGACTAATTTAATGGCAGTGATTTCAATTTAAAGAATTTAAATTACGCTCTCGATGATCCTTTCGTTTTTTCGAATTCTTCTATGACGTGATCGTATTCTGAAAGTCCCGTATCGGAGTCATAGTAAGCGTAATCGTAACTCGAGTCTTCCTTGTTAACATCTTGACGGGCGGGGGGCCGTACGGGAGCTACAGGCTTCTTCACCGAAGAAGCGGTCGGTGGCGACGGTGCACGGTAGTAAGTACGTTGTTCGGGAAGCGAAACTGGAGTACTAGATGATGCAAAGATAGGCCCTTGTGTAGTGGTTTGTTCGCTGCTAGGCCGTGATGTGGTAGTATAAGTTTGGAAAAAATCGAAAGAGCGCTGCGTGTTGAGTGTAGTCGGTGCTCTATAAGTTGTAGTATAAGTCGGATCGGTGGCATATGTCGTTGTTTGTGGTGATGCTGAGGACGGCGTCGGGGCAGGTCTGAAAGGTCTGGGAGCAGCGGATTGAGAAACACCCGGTTTCAAGAAAGATTGCGATTTATCGTGACCATTTTTCTGATCACTAGGCAATCTATTTCCGCTAGCAGCGATGTTCAGAGAATGAGCTCCTGAAAGTAGTTCTCGTTCGTATAGTTCTGGTCTATATTGACCGTCATCTTCGCCTTCTGGTAGCCGATACTGGCCATCATCTTCAGCGTTTCCAAAATTAAACGGCTGGACAGTATTTAAAGCTATGTTAGTATTATATGCAACGGTGTTAAGTTTTGAATGAGCGTTAGGTCGCGATGTCGTATAAATTGTGGTAATTGGTGTTGTAGTTGGATTATTGAAGTAATTTTGTTTATTTCCTGAGAATGCAACAAAGTTCTTCTTTTCTGGTTCATGATACGAAACACTATTAAAATTTCTATAAGCTGGCGTGCTGGTGGCAAAGCCTCGAGAAGCTGCCGTGTTATAGTCAACGGTTGTAGTTGTAATTCTTCCGTTGTTCGCATTTGCATTGGTACGTACAAAGTCTTGTTCTCTAAATCCTTCTGTAACACTAAAGCTGTTTCGTACTTTGAAGGGTTGACTTTCTTTCAACGCGTTAAAACCCGGAGTAGACTGAGCATCGAAGTTGTATAATTCGACGAGGCCGTCCTTAGGCTTAATATTTTGCACTGAAGTCGACGGCGGGAACGGTGCAGACGTTGCTTTACTTGGGATATATCTGTTTTTGTTCTTTTTTGGAGCAACCCTTGCCACTTCTACGTATTCATCCTTATATTCTGGAGGCACGTTCGCTGGCGGTGAAACAGTTGTTGTGGACGGTTTGCTTTGAGGATGGGTTCGGTGATTGAAATTCTGATTCTGTTGCGGAAGGGACTGCTGCGGCTGTTGATTGAACAGTGGCTGTGGCGACGAGAATGATTGTTGCTGCGCTGTGCTCTGAGTATAAGTGGTAGGAGCCAAAGTGGAAGCGTAGATGGGGCGTTTTCTCACAAGTTTTCTTTTGGGTGGGGCATCATATTGAGGTGGACTTGACGGTTGTATTGAGGAAGGGGAAGGTGTAGTGTATTGGGTTGTTGCAGGGGAGCGGTAAGTAGTGACTCTTCTGAAGGATTGACGCGACGGAGACTTCGGACGTGGTGAAGGTGCATATTGTGGTGTATTGTAGTCGTCGCGTCCACGTTCCCGTTGTCCACTAAAGAAGTCTGATGAATGCGCCGTGCGAAGGTCATGGGATGCACTGTTAGAGGCGACGTTGTTTTGGTGGAGCCGACGGTCGCCAGTCTCGGCGTTCTGGAGTCGGAACTCGGACTCTTCTTCTTGGTTGCCTCGAGATGACACTTTTTTGGTGTCAAAACCTGTTAAAAACAAACTATGATTATCGACAGCATTAGCAACAGCATATTGGTTGAATTGGTCAAATAGTAATTATCTACTGACATTAAATAACTATTTCAATATTATTGTTATCTACAAAAGAAAACCATTTTAAGCAAAGAACTAATGCTACTAAGAAGTCTGCGCAATAGTCGCACATTTACCGGCATTATAATGAATAATAATTAATAAGTGTAACGCAGGCACTCGCGTCATGAACTTTTTTACGAGGCGGTTATTAACTCCGGTTTCCAAAAGCGATACAATACAATGCAAGCATTCGGCTAAGCTCAGTTATTCTGCAATCTGTTACTAAACGCAGCACTCCCTCGCTGTTAACCTTCCAACGACATGATGTAACATATCATCATCATACCTTAGCGAGATGTTTAAATCGCTGTGATTTTAAACAGTTTTAAGAATTATTTCTAAAAACTTTTATATCATTTAAAGTATTTTTTAACAATCAGAGTTCTGACAACGTAGATAGTTTCCTGTAAATGAATAAAGGCAATAAGTATCTTTTTTCCACACGGTGATAGTTACGATAAGTACCATTTTTAATTTTATCTTTTTGTTATGTTTATTTATTTAAAGAAAATCTACTATTATAACCTCGTATTTTATGTAAAAAAATATGTCTTTTTGTTTATCTTTTGCTAAAGCTTATATTTGTGAAACTGCGGAAGTTTAAAATGTGTCCATGTTCTTTTTTTATATTAGTTTCCAAAAATTGCTTGAGTTTAAGGATAGTGAATTTTAATAACTAAAATACAGTAGGTACCAGGATAGAATTTTAGAACTTTAGAAACAAATTCTGTTATTTACACTTGCAAATTGTTAGCGGATGTTAGTAGCAAAGCAGCTCACCAGATCCGATCCTGTAGAGATCAAACTGACCGTCGTAGATATCAGCCGGGCATGCTAATGGGTCGTCGTCTCCCCAGTCGGTACACGTCTGAGCTTCTTGATGGAATAAGGTGCCAGGCGGGCAAAAGAAGCGGAAGTCTCTGACACCGCCACCAGCGACTCGCACGCATACGTGGAACGCCTTACAGCCCGATTTAGCGTCCGCGTAATATGCGCCTAGGATTCGCCCGCGACAGCTGAACCTCTCTGCTCCCCCTGTGTGAACAATCGCATTTATATTTTAATTCGGAAACAACGATGGTAACACAAACGCCCAGACCCGAGACAATATAGAAAAGTTGGTTTTTCTACATTAACCCGACTGGGGATTCGTCAAAGATGGCGACATGAAAACTGGTATGCAAGCCACTCGACAACGGAAGTCATCAATCGTCATTACATACATATTTACCTTAGTAGCATTATTATTTACGTTTATGAATATATCTACGTTGTCAATATTTATTAGTACGTATTATGGTCTGACGATATTGTCAGATTTGCGGGATCGCGCTGGATGCGAAAGGCAATAAAGAAGAGGCCTATGCCCAGCAATGGGTTGATGTTGGCTAACCATGATGATGATGATTATATATATTGTTTTGCCGTAATCCATTGTATCTAATGGTGCAAAATTAAAATATTAACGCGCATTAATATATTAACTGACACGGATACGCTTCATTTTGAATCGTGATTTAAAATCCTGAGTGTTTCTATGTGAACTAGTCTAAATATTATGCACTATTATAATTATTAATACAAAGATCGAACACTCCGAAAAAATTCCTTCGATCCGTCCAGATTGATGCCGACGTCTTCTAGCATACCGTGTCGGACGCTATACCAACTAAGGCCACAGAACGAACCAGCGGACCTCACTATTTTTTCTGTGTTTGTTGTCGTGTCTTTGTATTTGGTTTTTTCAACGGCTTTTTACCCGTAGCGCCATCTATGAGAAGTTAAGTATTTCGTCACCCAGTTAGATACCTTTACAGCTACCAGCCCTGGCTAGAGATATCGCTATTCATTGTATTTAAATTTTTATTGAATTGATATTAAATTATTATTTATGTGAAATTACTCCACTAGTTTCTTATAATTATTAATATAAAGATCGAACACTTAGAAAAATGCACTAGTCAAAAATATTAAGAGTACTGATAAAAGAGAAAATTTTACTCTTTGACAAATAAGCATACCAGATAAAGTAAGATAACATAGTTACTTCATAATTGAAAATGGTATTATTTTTTGGTCCGAAACGTTGTTTATTTGAAAAACGAATATACGATTATCCGACAAATTAGTTTCATTTACAATGTGTAGTAATCGAAAAAACCTAAGAACTTGTTACTACGTAATCACTGTCACAAATCTATGAAGTTTACAATTACTCACCCTCGGACGCAAAAACTGACAACATAGAAAGGTCGATTGATTGAAGATTGGATAATTTAACCAATACTCCTCAAAAAGTTAAATAATTAATGTTTCAGAATAAACAAAATCGTTACCGGTTAATTTAAGTTTGTTTTACTGTGTTAGGACCACAGAATTCTAAAAGTGGTTACGACAATTTTTAATAGGATGAGCGATATGTGAATTCGAGGCGACTTGCATTTTTGGTATTAAATGCCCTAAGCTAAAAAAAATATTGAACAAAAACTATTAATGCAATTTTGAAGCTGGTATACTAAACGTCATTTCTCTATAGAAAATTTGGATTTGTATAGCCGGGGAAAAGTTAGAAATATTTTTGTATTCTAGACCTTTAAAAATAAAAATGCAACGTGACTTGAAATCTATATCCGGGAATGTGACAATAAATTAACGTGTCAGACAACTTTAACTGCCTCTGTGGCCGAACGGTTACCATACCGGCCTGACACGCAGAGGTCCCAGGTTCGATTCCCGAGCCGGGAGAAATATTTGTATGGCTTACATTTATTTCTCTCGTGAGTTTGGGTGTAATTTGTGGTTGTCTATGTGTGTGTCCATGGCACCCGCGACACAGGGTTTCCCTAGTGCGGGGCTATGTTGAGTGTGAGCGTTATTATTAAAAAAAAAACTACACCAATTCTTAAACTAGAAATTTCCCACTATACTGAAGTTCACTGTGACTACCAGAGCAACGGTTTTCACTCCGGGGCTCTACCTTTTTTTATGGTACCATGTGGCGGGACGAACAAGTCGTGCACCTGTCCATAGCAGTTGCAATGTCGCTCACGAACTTAAATCGCAAATATCTGAGGGACACTGCCACTGCTCCTACCCTGACACATAAGTTGACAAGTCCCATGTGCCTGTAATTTCACCAATACCCTTCAAAACCGCAACGCAGTAAATCTTACATTGTTGCTTGGCGGCAGAAATGAAACTTAGCTACTACCTTCAGGACAAGAACCAATTTATTATAAATAAATCGTTTATATCAATAGATTAATCAATAATTTAAAGTACATTACGAATTAAATTTAGTATCAAATCATACACAAATGTAAAAGGTTTGTAACTTAGCAAAATCGTGGACAATTTTATTCAGTGCGTCATATTTAAAACGAACTTACTTGCACATCGTTCTGTCTCAAGATTGATATCGAAAGCAAATAGTGAATATAACATAATGATTCTCGCTCTTTATTTAATAAAGCCACATTTTACGCCAAAAATGCTTATAACTCATGAAAGACTTAAAAGCAATACGAACTACATGTATAATTATTATAAACTAGTGGAGCAATTTCACAAAAATAATTGAAAATTAACAAACAAATATAATTGAACATCGTGGCATTCAATAAACTTAAAAATTACATCTCTAGTCAGTTGCTGGTAGCTGTAAAGTTACCTCGCTGAGTGAAGGTAAGCTTTCAAAGATTTCTCACACATGGCGCTACGATAAAAAGTCGTCATAAAAATCATAAGGTCTGCTAGTTCGTTCCGTGGCTTAATTGGCGTAGCGTCTGACACGGTTTGCTGGAAGACGTTGGTTCCAATCCAACCGGATCGAAGGAACTTGTTCTTAGGGTGTCGAACACCACTCTTTGTGTTAATAATTATTACATGAAACAAATTATGTATACATAGGTACAATTTGCGAAATTTGACTCCTAATTAAGGATGTAAAGTTACCGACTATTTTCGTTCGTAAAAACCTTTAAATCTCTCTCCTGAAAACTTGACATTGTGCAGATGTGACTTTATAGCACCAAGAGTGCGAATTGCAGCACTGATATTAATATTATACTAAAACCAATCTCCACATTCAGAAATGTCGCAAAGTTCAAGGATTGCTGTAAACGGTAGTATAATTCAGAAATGATTATGCAAGGTCTAAAATGCTAAACTGTCAATTCATAATTATTCTAAGCAATTGCATAATTATTTAAATTTATTAATGATTAGAAATATTCATTTCCAAAATTAGTCCTACCGGGAATCGAACCTGGGATTTCCTCAATCAGCATCCACAATTTAAATCGTTCGACCACCGAGCTCATCAATTACGAGAATACGTAGCTTCCATGAGAAAAATTTAAGTACATATTACTTAACACAATAAATATATTATCAGAAAAATATGAGCTTCATTATATAGTAACGCATCAAAATTGTGTATTGTTTATGCCATCAAACAATCGTTACACTTCGTAATTACGTTAAAGTTACGTTACGACACATTTTTCTTTAAAGATTACAAAACTAACCTTATAACAGTACGAGATAACAATGGTTGGAGCATTTATATAGTTCATTCAAAAGACGGAAGATGGTGGAGATAAGATTTTTCCTTCCACATAGTAACTAATGTTGGTAGCCAAATTTAATAACTTAATAGCTAAAAATAGCACCGCTACCTTATTCTAACGCGAACCAATCCTGAAACAGATTATTACCATCGTTACCACACTGACCGCTATCGTCCTAGTTGGAAAATATATCGGACTTTGCCTAACCATTGGAAATATTAAAAATATAAAATTATACAAATTAGCTGTGACTGGTTCAAAGTTACGTTACGTTCACATTAAGTGTACAAGTTATTTAGCCGTAAAATAGTGGTATATTCAAGAGCACATCAAACTTGTCACTTTTTATTTTGGTCCATTTGCATTGACCGAGTTGCATTTATTAAATCTTAGGCTGGGATTTATGAAACTTTGAGTTTACTTCGTAATTTCTTGATTGAACTTAGGCAAATTTCGTTTTGTAAATACGAAAAACTTGCTTAGCTCGCCATCTTCGCTTAGTCGAAGTCAATTCACATCCTTAGTGTCAACTTGTTCTAGTATTGATTTTTAATATAATTTTTCAGTTGTCGGTTTAAAAAAATAGTTTTTTAAAATTTAACAACATGGCGACTTTGAGAAACTTATAATGTTAGTTTAATTATTATTTGACGTATTGCAATGGTAATTGTGTTACTAATGTTATGAAACCTAAAAGGAAGCTATAGTAATTATTATAACATAGCCCCGCAATAGGGAAACACTGCATTGCGAGCGGCATGAACACACACATAGACAACCATAAATTACACCCAAACTCACGAGAGAAATAAATGTAGGCCATACAAATATTTCTCCCGACCCGGAATAGAACCCAGGACCTCTGTGTGACAGACCGTCACACAGTGGTAACCGGTCGGCCAACGAGGCAGTTAATTAATTCTTGTAGTTAAGACCATAATTATGTTCTCTGATGTCATCAATGTCTATATATTGTTTGTTTTTTTTTTATTTGTCTATATGTCTATATGTGGTTTATATCTAAAGGTGCTTTTCCACCGGTGAGACGAGACGAGAATTGAAATCTCACCGACCAATTTCCACCAAATTTGCTATCAATAACTATCGCGAGTTCGCGGTTGATATAACTAACCATCGCACTAATATAAAATTATATTTATTATATTATATATATTATAATATATTAAATAAAATTAAAAAATATATATTATTTGCAGAGAAGTCATCTTTTTTTAAGTTTTAAATCGTCATACCCCGCAATATCGCGATAGATATTATAAGCCATCAATCATGTTTCCATTGAGTTAATAAACACTCTAAGTAGACATTGGTACGGTTCAATGTTTCGCCAATAAATATTTCAGTTCTCATCTCGCTCATCCTCGTCAATCGATAGTAGCAGTAGTATTTGAAGTACTCCTTGTGAAAGAGTTCGCCCAGAGACGTACTGCCACCTTACCGATG